CGTTGGTTTCTGATCTCATCCTCTAACTTCTCAATTTGGCACCTCCGCACCTCTTTCTTGATCCCTTGCGCGTGTTCCAAATCCAACTCCAGCCCCAACTCCTCCGCGCACTTAGCCGCTTCTTTAAAAATTGACCTACGCCCCATCCTCGCCGCTTGCTCTTCAAACTCCCGTACCATTCCCAGTGCACGATCTTCATTACCATGGAGTCTGACTGCACCCTTGATTTTTGTGGCTTTGTACTCCATTTCAACAGAGCGCAATCCCCGCCCTCCTTTACTTCTTGGCATATACAACAATGCATTCGAACTACATGAGTGTCTATCCCCACTCTCAACAACAATCTCGCGCGCTTCCCTATCGATCTGCTTGAGTTCCATCACCGGCCACTGTTGTGTCCACATAAGATATCCAAGAACAGGCAATGCAAACTGATTTGACGCTACCACCCGATTAGAATCGGACAAGGGACTTGTCCAAATAACTGACAATCGTCTGAGATACTCTCTTGCTGCACACTCCAGGACCAACTTATTCTCCTGCCTAACACTCTCAAGTACTCCAAAGAACTTGTACCGCTCACCATCATCAAGACATGGTAATCTAGTCAACTCCACAACTCTCCCCCCTGAGACAGGAGTCACTTGTACCCCCCCTTTTTACATGGGCCACCGCACACTTCTTCAGGTTCCACTGAAGCCCCACATCCTCAATAGATGACTTAACCATCTTCATAACCCGTTCAAGCTTACTCTCCGATGCAGCGAAGATCTTGATGTCATCAATATACAAGAGTCCCGTAACCTTGCTGTTAATAGGTTTGGACATCCGGTATCCTTTAGCGGCTCTGATCTTCCATGCCACTGGGTTCAAGCATACAGTGAACAGCCTCGGGCACAATGCATCCCTCTGTGGTAACCCTCTGTTGAACTTAATCCTCTCGGAGGTCTGTCTCCCTTTCCTTGTGATCGCCACTACCTTTGAGTTCCAACTCTTACACAGTTTAGCAATGACTTTACACAACCATGTGGGAAACCTGTGTAACGTCATCACCCCATTCAACCAACTATAATCTACAGAATCGTACGCCTTTTTAACATCAATCCAGGCCACGCTCAAATTCCGCCTCCTCCTATGACAATCCAACGCAACCGTTCAGTCGATCAATAAGTTGTCTGTTGTTCCACTGCACCCTGCGCGTGCCCCCCTCTGCGCACCCTCCATTAGATCGTTCTCCTCAAGATGCTGGTTTGTTGTGACAAACAGACACGAAGTGAACAACTTATAAAGCGTGTTTAGACAAGTGATGGGTCGTTGGTTGTCGCTGGTAAACTCTCCAGATTTTGGGATTAACGTTGTTTTCCCTTCACAAAACCATGCTGGATACTCTTCCTCATACTCGGAGATCACACAGAACGACGAAATAGCACCCTCATGCAGCGCTTGGGCACATTTCCACCAAAAATTGGCGATACGATCCGGTCCAGGTGCGCTCCAATTCTTTTTCCGCGCTAAAACGTTTACAGCCTCACTTGTAACGATGTCCCAGGCTTCCTCCACTGAAGGAGGGACGCGATCGTGAATAATAGCTCGCAAATCATGCAACCATTCCGCGTTTCCGTTTTCCCGTTCCGTTCCCTTCCCATAATTCCTTCCAAAAGCTACTTACTTCTTCGATATTAACAAACACCTTCTCCTCTATTTCCTCATCCCGTTTCCCAGGGTCTACATATTTTGGACGCTTACTTTCTTGGTCGTTAGCCAACACTCTTCTCATGCCCGCATATACCCGGCTAGTATCATCTTTAAATTGTTGATTAATCAACCTTGCTTCCTCTAGCTTGTTGCCTCGCACAAAGCCTTTCTTCAGTTTTCGTAAAGAGGATTTCTTCTTCTCAATATACCCGACAAGTGATGCTATCGATAACGTGCGGCATTCCTTGTGCAAAATCTCCCGGTTCCTTCTCCCTCTCTTGGTGAGCTTTCGGTTTTCTTTCAAGCGATCCACTTCCGCTTTGGCAATTGAAATCTGTTTCCTTATTTCACATACTTTTTCTACGTACAAACGGCGCCGTTTCTGTTGCTTACTCTCTCCAGCTGATGGTCTTTTCGGGCCTTTCTTTTTCCAACCTTTGTACAACAAAAATGCAATAACAACAGAGTACAGCACGCAGCTTGCGATCCAAAGATACGTGAACGGGTTGTCCGTAGGGA